TTTACGTTTTGAGCTTGTTCTTTTCAGTTCGTTGTTAGGATTTTTTCTGAAGAATTTGATCAAGAATAATCAGAATTTGATTTTTGAAAAAGTTTATTTGACTGATTAATTACTTTCGGGGTAGAAAATGTCCTTTTATAGGACACTACTCGATAGTTCTGATGAAGAGGACTACCGAAGCGAGCGTTCGTCCAAATCCAACAAGACCTATCCATTGAAGAAAGAGGATTTCATACTTATGGCCAAAGAAAAGAAAAGTAAAGCAAAAAAGGCGAAAACTATGTCACATACGGAAAGCGAATAACCAAGTAAGAAGAAAGATGTTAAACCTGGTAAGGAAAAAAGAGACATTCAAACACCGAATGGAGAAGCTACTGATGAACAGACACCAGAATATTTATCAATGGGAAATGATGAGAACATCCCAAAATTCAAGTCATGTTCTGAAGAAGAAATCCGGGACGAGATTGCGAAATTTGGATTTGACGTAATTTACAATTACTTTCATAAAAGAACTAAGGGTGAGATGGATGTAGAGACATTCACGAAAAAATTTTATCCAGGGCAGATAACTGAAAGAGGAACAGACAGCAGGGAACAAGAATGGATTTCTCCTAAGAAAACCGCGAAAGTATCAGAAAACGAAGCTCCAATGGAAGTTACGATGGAAAATCGATTTGAGCAGCTAAGTGAAGTAGAAGGTATGGAAGAAGAAGGAGGAGCCGAAAAAGAGGAAACTCCACCCTTAATATTTTTTCCAGCAAAGCGAAGTGGATTGGCCTAAAATTCATGGAATCCTTATCAATACCTGCAGTGAAGAATTCGAAGCCGATATCAAAATGAAACTACTATATGTTAATTTAAAGTCAGTAGACGATTACAGAAAAGCAACTATGGTTTTTGCAGAAAAGAAATATACCATTTCATACTTTCCAGTTTACTTTTACTCAGCGAAAAACCTATTCAGGTTGTTCTTCTTAAGGGCCTCCCATCGACGATGAAGGAAGAAATAATCCAGGCCAGATCTGGAGAGAAGGAAATGCCCGGTAAGTAAAGTCAAGCAGTTTTCCAGACGAAGAGGAGACGCTATCGAGAAACTTCCGATTTTCCTGTTGGAGCTGAAGAAAACGAAGGAAGGACGTGCAATTCATGGACTCAACAATATTTTAAGTGTTAATGTCAAGATCGAGAAGTTTGCCCCGAAAAAACGCGTAATTCAATGCTATAGATGTAAAGAATATGGACCTCAGCTTGGAACTTCAACACTGGATGAAATTCAGCCAATCTGAAATTTTCATACGCCAGTAAAGTCTTACCCTGTTCCAATCTTGACATTTTCTTATACATACACCTATATATTTTCTTCTGTTTCATTTTGCTGACTTAATAACTTCCCTAATATTCCAAAGGAGAGCTGAAATTGCCTTTATTGCATCATCTCTGTCCATTTTGCTATAGACAGCTCTAACGGGGACAGTCTATGACCATTTATTCTGAAATAAAAGGTTGTAGAGTCATTAGGTTTTATGATTCCAGGTACATCATGAAGGTATGCCAAACCTATCTGGAACCAAATGAACATTGAAGCTGCTTACATATTTTCCCATGGCTGTACATACCATGGAAAAATACTCTCTATACTTGAAAACAATGTCCTAAAACTGACATTTTATGAAAATGTATAAATGTATAATGAATGTATTTCATTTTAAATAAACATTAATTACTTTGTTTTAAAGCAATTATCATTTACGTCAAATTAAAACAATAAACCTCCCGATAATATATAAAGAATAAAAGTTTAGCAATGTCGCTAGAGTTTTTGCTATTTTGACAAGCGATCACACTGCATTATAACACAGTATCGCGTAATCAAAACAATACCCCCAACCATTTCTCAAACTTATTGGCATTAACATCATTTTAAGCAATTATATTTATCAGAATTCATAGGCTGTGCATTTATACTTAGATTCATTTTGTGCAATCTAAATATAAACATACTTTCCATGTATTCTGATAACTCTGTAATCAGGATGATAAAACACTCAGATTTTCAACACACAATTTTCATTTCTTATCGACGTTTGCGATGGGAATTCAATAAGTTCATAAATGAAGTTATCTAAGAAAGCAAATGCAAGTGATTGATTTTTTTCTGACTGAGTGATGCTTGTCATGAATGCTTTGTTTCTAAATTAATAAAAGTAAGAAAACAATAGATTTCAATTATGATAAGTATCAAAATTATCATACATTTTCTGAAGATTTCATTTTTGATGTCTTCAGTAACACTCAATTTCATACTGATTTATTATTATAAAATTTAGTAATATATATATTCGTTTAAATGCACTTATTTCCTTTAGATGTGTTTAGAAAGCTTTTTTATCCCTTCCTTATTTATAGAATTCTCTGTTTTATAGATGCCAAAATGTGTATCATACTTTCTAACTTAAAAAAGATCGATTAAAATTTTAAAATATTAAAGCTTTGAAATATTTTCATCATTTAAGTTTGAAGAAATTTTGATTTATTAATTAGCTATGCAATTAATTGCCTTTGTCATTATTTTTATTTTTATTTACATACACTAGCTTGCGTTACATATAAACATTGACTTAATAAGACATATAAGAAAGACAGTGAGTATATGACTGATGACTGATTAACTTGTTGAGAGTAATTCATAACTAAAAAAAACTTAATATTTCACCTACACTGATCTGGGCTAATCTTTAGAATATGGTAACAGGTAGTTTGGCGACATTTTGGTAAGGCGATAAAGGTTGTACTAGCTAGGACTACTTTTTAAGTGAAAATAGGTCGATGTGTAAATAGATAAAGTCAAGAGAGTGCGCAATGCCATTTTTGTGCAATTCTGGGATGTTTTATTAAGTGAAAATAGGTCGACGTGTACATGGATACCGTGTATGTGCAATTCTTAAAAACGCGGCAAGCAGTTTGCGATTCTGCACTTTCTCCCAATTTCGCACCTAATCTTCGTCATGATTAAGCATTTAGCATTTTTGTTCCTTAAAAGTTCTAGTATAAGCATAATTCGGCTAGCAGATTGTTAGAAAAAATATTGAGTCTTTAAAAAAAAAAAAAAAAAAAATGCTTTTACTTGTGAAAACAAAATGGGGTCCAAAACAAAACTAGCAGGTTGCTGTAGCAGGTTTGATCGCCAAATGTTCGCCAAATAATCGCCAAGTTACCATAATGTAAAGATTCACCCTGATCTGCTGAAAAAATTTTGAAACTTATCTATTATGAAAGATCAATACTTAACTGAGAACAGAAAGATAGCCTAAGTTTACTTAGTTAGAAGCTAACTGGATGAAAATAAAGTACTAGCTGGGAAATAATTTTTTGGATGAAAGCAATGTACTTGTAAATGTTTATTGTTCCTATTATTATTATGTTACTAATATTATGTCACTATTATTATGTCACTAATGTTATCTAACTGCAATTTCTGTTTTAAAGAGAGTTCAAAAGTAAATTTATTTCGGTTTACCTTGAAAGGATGTTTGAGTTTATTCAAAGTTCGGTTTATAAAGTATTTTCTTCCTCCTTTCCACATGCCTTCGTGGTGCAACTGAAAGCATACTCGACGCGTATTCGAAAAGTCCAGTTTTAGGGTCCTGGCTAAGGCACTACATATTTTTCCCGTCTCTTGCTGCAGAAAGAATCTAAAGCTTATATGCAAGTGCCCTCTGAACTAAAAGTTGATGGACGATAATTCGCCACCATCAGAACTTGGTGACTGAATCCCTTAATCCTCAGAAGCCCTTTCAAAGAGGTACTATATAAGGTAATTTCTCCCTACTTTATGCTTTCCTTTGTGGTGTAATTGAAAGCATAATCGGCGTGTATTCAAGAGGTCCAGGGTTCGAGTCCCGGCGAGGGCACTGCATATTTTTCACGTCTCCAGCTTCAAAAAAAAAAAAAAAAAAAAAAAAAAACATGATGACTTTTTTTTTTGAAGTTTTTTTTCCTGTTTAAAAATACAATGAACCAAAAATATTTAAAACAGCAAGCGGTTGCAAAGCACTCTTAAATCTTTTTACATAATTAAAATACTTCTCGTGAAAGTAGCAGTTTGTAATAATATAAAGAATAATAAAGAATACTAATATTATTCATCGCTTAGTAAATTGTAGAAACCAAAGGTTTTCGTTGTTATTCATTGTAATATATACACGTTGTAAACGACAGGAGGATATTAATCTGTCAAAGTAAAATCATTCATCATTTAGGTAATCAAATATTAAAAATTCTATGAACAGAGCTGCCTACTTCTTTATTGACTGTAAAATTTATTCTATTAATTATGATTTGGTTTGTTTAATTGCGATAAAGCACTCCAGGGCTATCTGCTGAAAAGGAGGACTGCCTTCTTGGAGGACTATCTGAGGAAATACGGCTCGTATACACGTTACACATAGCGAAAACTACGGAAACGCTCATGCAGTGGGGCCGTTCGCCGGAATTCGAAACCTGAACCGAACTACCAGTATTCAGCCAATTTACCTCTCGGCCACTGGTGGGCCTTTATTAATTACGATAACAGACAAACGAAAACTAATAAGAATACATAAAGATAAAGATTCCAAAGAAGAAGTTTGCATTATATAAATATTATAAGTTTTACAAATTTTTCATTTATTCCTGTTTCTTTATTTAATCAGGTTTTAAGAAGAAAACGTTTCAACATACCAAAATGCTTTGAACATAATTTAAATAAAAAAAAGGAAAATACTCCCAGTACCTTAAATTGTTTTGTCAGCATCATTAAACTGATTCAGATTCCTACATCTGTAGGCAAACACTAAAAATTTACGGAATTTCACATCTTAAATGAATCATGAGAAACATATTACAATTAATTAATAAAGCATCGTAGTGGATCACGATTTTTTTACCACAAAAGTCTTCTTTGGCTTAAAGAAATCCCACTGGCATTAGTATTTCTGAAGGAAACAAGATATTCTTACTATTTTTTGATCCGAGTATGCCCCACTGGAGTAAGCCGTTGTCATAGTGGAGGCACATCTTTCTCCATACCAAGGAAAATCCCCTCGCTGGCTAGCACTGCCTACAGAGAGAGTATAAATGGAATTGGTGTATCCATCACAATTGCAGTTATCTCCTTTCGATCCACCATTTCCCGATGCCCACACATAGATCACTCCCTTGCCAGAACGACCCTAAAAGGAAAGAAAAACAAAGATAAACAGATGTCTTTGTTTGGTTTAATGTACTACTATTTACTGACATACATTAATTTAAGAGTTGATGAAATTTTATTTTCTTTCAGCGTTCGATTTGATATCTTTTAATTTCGTTTAAACTGGAGAATCAAAAATAAATATATGCTATACGAGTCTGAAAGGAAAGCTATGTTTTACTTTATATAATGCCTCTTTGCAAACATTACCAATCTTATGTGCATAGCCTAATTACTTAGCATTAAATCCGCAATTAAAATAATTTATGACGTTAACACAAAATAAAAGAAAACGTATTTGCAAAGTTTTACCTCCACATTTAGTATTTGGAATATTTAATAACTTTTTCTTGAAGAAGATCCTAACAAATTAAGCTTCTACATTTAGGATCAAAAAATGTAATTATATTTCTTTTAGAAAATATCTTTAATGCAGGAAGCTTATATATATGAAGCAATTTTACGCTCAACCTTTTTCTTATTTTGTAAAATACCTTGAAAATGAGAATCGACTTATATGTTTGTTTGTTTTATTTTGCGGTCAATACTATGAATTTGGGTTTCCCCTCAACGGTTACTCACTTGTTCTAGCGACTGATTTTTTTAAAACGATATAATCATATAATAAAATTTATTTATTAAATTTTTAGCTGGGCATGCATTTTGTTTTAAATAAAGCAGTTTCATTTGTTTTGCTTTAACGAGTTAAACAATAATTAAAAATTTCAGAATAACTTGTATAGTTTGCTGCAACACCTGACAAATTTTATACTGTGATAAAATAAAGAGAAGCTTAGACATCGACGCATCTTGCAAATATGTTGCTGAATGTTCTGCAGATGATCCTGTGTACAAAGTGTTCGGTAAAGTTGGCTTCGGGCATTATATTCTTAAAAGCTATTGAAAGTTTGCACTTTTAATAACAATGTTTTTCAGAATGATGTTAAGATAATTGTAAAACTGTGGGAAGGAGATATCTATAAAAATGAAGTTAAACATTTTTATGGCCTTTGTTAACGAAATCATCAACTAGCGAAACTTTCATTATGACTTAACACGCTGAGGCAAAATTTGAGGTGGTATACGAGAATGAACTCAGACAGTTATTCAAATAATACCCATCAAAAATAATAATAAATAAATAATGCCCATCAAATTGTAAGGATCTTAAGTTTTACTAACGTTTATTTTATGTTAAATCTTTACTATCACTTCTTATTTTCTACTTCCGTCCAGAATTAAAAACTTTTAACTTATTTATGCAAATTTGTCTTGCTAACGCCAAGTACTTAAGTTGTGGCTTTTTGCCAAGCAAGAGAGAGGAAGGAGCTATTAGAAGCAGGCCGCTTGCCATAGTAGTTTTACTCGGTTGCTGGTTGCCTTCAAGGCCAGAGGTTTAATCCTCTTGATAATTTTAAACATATCGTAGTGTTAGCAGTTCTCTGTACTACATACGGCTTTTTGTTAATATACGGCCAATCTTGGAGTTAGGCACTTGTTTATTAATCCAAAGTTAGTTTAGTTAGATTTTTAGTTAATATTTTTTATATTCTTACGTTCAGATCACAAGTGGTTGGTCTCTGTATTCCGAAGTTCCGGAAATCATTGTAAAGAGAGAAAAATAAAGGGTTTCGTATACCCTTCCTGTGTGTATTGTCTACTTCCCAAATTTATTGAACATAGCTTTAGTAAGCTCCCTGTTCCGAGTCAGGACAGTTAATGTTCCCAAAGCAAGTAAGGAGGAACACAGAACCTGATAAAATTCTAAGATACTTTTATCAAGTTTAAGAAGATCTTTGTAAATAACAGCGGCTCCTTTGGGAAATTAGATATTCTGAATGTGATGAAATAACACTCCTTATTGAGTTTGTAGCTTTACGCATGAAAATATCAATTTCGCATACATCTCTACCTTCCAACTTATTCTTAGGAATTGTTTAACTGGAAGAACATGTCAGTCACGAATACTTTAGAAAATACAACCTATAGGCCCTTTTTGAACACTCTGTGTACATTTAAATATCTTAAATTTAACAAGTCTTTCACAATAATTTAATATTTTCTCGAACTTTTTAAAGATGTATTCATGAAGCACACTTTTTTCAAAATTGTGCTTCAAGGAGTACATCTTATACGGAAAGACATCCACTTTAAAGTGTTTAAGACAGAAAATGAAAAGAAACGCATTCTTAATTTTCTGTTCCTATTAGCTTAGCTCGATGAAACCAAAATTCATTTTTATCTCATTTTATTGGACACAAGTCTGTTAATCGCATCTTTTTCCCTTTCTTTACATTGAGGTTTCGAAGTGTTAATTCTTAACATAAAAAGAAAGACACTGCAAAAAAGAAAAAAAAAAAAAAAAACTTAAGACTAACAAAATGAGCGTTTTAGTAAAAACAGCAGAAAAATTAATGAGAAGTGGAATTAGGCAAATAAAACTGCTGCACAGTAAATCAAGTCCCTATTGTCTAGCTGTATCGTGAAGTAGATAGTATAACCAAGCAAGTATTAGTCTGTCTTATTGCTATAAACCGAATAAGAAAGAGGCTCTTTTTTATATTAAGGCGCTTATACACAAATGGCTTATTGCAATAGATGTAATGATTAGCTATTTCCCTGGGCTGGAAAATCCTTCTCATATAGCTTATGCATATTACCATTCATTTCCTTCATTTCAGCATCATATAGTCGGCACACGTTTCAAAAGTTCCAAACAGAGTAACTTAAAGCATTAACGGTTTTATCGGCTGAAACAAACGCCAGTTTTTATCTTTTTGTCTTACACAGGATGGGGCATGAGCTCCCCAACATGTGGAGTAAATATGTAGATGTTTATGCCGAGACATTTTAAGAAAAATGTGTTTCGGCGTTAAAATACACTTTTTCTTTTATGCACATAAACAGTATATTTATAAAGGAAAGATCCCAAATTAATTTGTACACCTAAAGAAGTAATTAAAGGCCATCTTGTTTCACTTAAATAGGCGTAAGTATATCTAAAGTACAAAGGAAACTAGAAAAAAAGAAACAAGTATTTTAAATTACATGTATACAAACAATAAATTACATATTTCTTGTTTCTATGTTAATACAGTTCTAGAGAAATATACATTAATCCATGAGTGAAACTTGGGACGATTACTCTTAAGTTCCCCTAACAGTTAGATATGAATCAAACTATCCTATCCTTCTTGGCTCTTGTCAAAAACATAGTTCGGGCGCGAATATCATGCAAATTTATTGGTATGCGGTATAATTTAAAAGTAGGTGGTTAACGTTAATCGTAAAACTATTAGAGCTTGAGTTATGTCGCCGCCATGTCTGGTTGAGAATTATTTGCTGCTGTTTCTGTGTGCGGCTAACGTAAGTTAACCGCTGTGTCGTTAGGAAATTTTACAAATTTTGCAATACTGTAACAGGAGTTTAGTTTTGGGTTAGACCTTGTTATAGACCAGATTATACAGCTTGCTATTTCAGTTGTAAACCATATACATATTTATTTTATTTTAAGTGGAATTGTATTTGTATTAATTTTATTTTAAGTGGAATTGTATTTTATTAATATTTAAATATATGTTAATAGCGGAAATTCAACAACTAGGTAAAATAACTCTTTGAGTTGAATATTCAATTTAATTTAATTCTTCAAAAGTTATAAACTATATCTAAGAATTTATGACTAAACTAAAAAAACTACGTAAACTACTATACGTGTAACTGCATTGAAATAATTATATCGAAAAGCACTTTATTTCGTAGACAAGAATACATAACTGAAAGGGGTTTTCTCTTGTGGAGCATTCCTAAGAAAATTTTCATAAAACGAAATTTCATAAAAAGATTTTAATTAACATTACCTAACTTTCAAGATTTTTTAGCATTCAAAGAGCCTAAACGTTTAACTTACCAAACACATCAGGTAGCAAACAAACATAAAAATAACACTAACATGCAGCCACTAGCTACTAATTACTAACGTCATGCTGGACTAACAGAGTCATTATTTATATCTATATTTTATATCATTAAATCCACCATTCACACTCTCAAAAAGGCTTACGGATCCAGAGGTGAGCTACACATGTTTTACATTATACACTCTCAATTAAAGTAAAGCTACAGAACTAAATACGGGGTGTACGATTTCCTCTACAACAATGGCGCAATATGTTGTAGGGTGCCTCACTCTTATTCTACTAAAGTAAATGACGAGGAAACTAGTGAATTAAGCGACTTATCGGTGAGCTCGAATAACTAAAAGCGTAGACTCAAGAAAGGTTAACTACCCTTTATTTCACTCAAAATAAGATGAAAAGTTGGCCCCTTTCTAGGGCTTACAACAAAGCCTCTACTCAGTCTAAATCTCAGAATAAGCAATAAGAGATAACTAAGAGATTTAGCCGAAGCTAATACAATTATCTAACGTAAATGGCCTTTAAATTTAAACTTGCCGGCGAATATCAAAATGCACGTAAATATGGCCGAGCGTAACAGCTTCAAAAGAGATTTAGTCCAAAGGCAAATACGCGGTACTCAGGATTCATAGCTCTTGCTCTTGAAGTAAGTTGAACCTTCTTTAAATACTCTTTCTAACTCATTTGCATTCAAAGCAATTCTAGAAACTCATTTTGGTCGGGATTTGTAAGTGGAAACAAGAATTGACAGAAAAGTGACTTTAATATTAAAATAAATGTTATAAAATTAAAATATACCTTATAATGTGATTATATTCGGCGCTATTTGATAGGGCGCAAAATGCGAACGTTTTTAATATGAACGCAATTTATTTTGAGAAAAAAGATTTGAACTCATGATGCATATTACGATTTAAATTATTTTTACCGAGATGGAAAAACCATCAATTTGACGACTTTGTAGCTATGCTGTTACTCGAAGAGTTGATGAGTAAGTTTTGGTGTCTTCCACTATTTAATCATATGCGGTATGAAATCGCACTGACGTCAAATTTAGGCAAACTTATAAATACTTTCATTAAACATTTCTCAATAACTTCGTTTCCCAATTAAATGTAATGCAATATTATTGTTTTAATCATAAAATAAAATTATCAAATATAAGACAACCTTAGCTCATATTATAAATCTGCAATAGCAAAATTTCGTGAATAATTGCTGATTGCTAAAAAATGACAGCTTTTTCTACCAAAATTAAGGATAAATTTACGAAGATATATTAGGATATTATTCCTTTAACACATAGCATTTGAAATTTAATTACTATTCTTTTACAATGTTCATTATAGAATTAAATTTGAAACCTTTTTCATAATTTTAGAAGACAATATTTGTTAAAATTTTAATAAGTATTATCAAACATTATTTTCTGTAATTAAAAATGTATTTCGTATTATAAATAAATATAGAAACCTAAAACAAAGACCATTTTTTTAAGAAAAACGTAAAACATCAAACCTGTTGTATCCCTTTCTCTAGAGCTTCTACAGCGAGTCTCTTGGGTCCATCCACTGTCATTCCATCATCGTTGGGCCCCCAAGATGCACTGAAAATATCGATATGATCAATGCTGTGCGCAAGAGACACAGACTCTACAGCATCATTCACAATACCGTCCAACATCCGAATACCTGCAGTTAAAAAGATAAAACATTTCTCAACATACATATTTCATAATGCACGAGAAAACTTTAAATTCATATGTTTGAAATAAAAATATCATTAGAGATCAAGAGAATTTTTAAATTTATATATATTGTAGAACTGTAAGTAGAACTGTAAAGTTACAGACTTTGGCTAGGATTCGCATACAAGACTTTTTGATCTTCAGAATTCGGCAGCTGCCTTTATCTACGGAGCTATAGTAGCTGCCTAGGCTTTCGAATAATTTCTACTGAACGATACAATAATTTCATTTTGTTGATTTCTCTGAGCGATTTGACTGGTTAAACCGAACATCACAGTAAACATTGCATTAAAAAAAATTGTGTTACAGGCTTGATCAAAAAAGATCACATTGTCCTGAATAGCATTTATATCACGAACATTTACCAGCGATTGGCAAATTCAAAATCTTTCTCCTGCCAAAATAATTAAAATTTCATAAGTAATATTGCAGAAATGCCCTGTGTCTTGGTGTTTAATTTCTCAAAATATCTAAATAAATGACAATTATTGAGTCATAATTCAATAGTATGGAAATCGGAAGAATTTTTAAACTGTTCATGTCTGTTCGTATTTATCGCTTATGTTTTAGGCAATTTTTGTCATACGTGTATCGTGCGTGTCATACGTGTCATACGTGTATCATACATTTACAGTTTCTCAATGCGCTGATTAGTTTACGCAGAAAAAAAATGGGTGTTGATGTTTGAAAATTTCCAAGATGTTTTCACTGCAACCGTAACCGTGAGAGCCCTATTGTTTTAAATCATCGCAATCTCGTGTGCATACCTTCAAGTAATAATATCTGAAATTTCATTCGGCACTTCATTTTCAAGTGATGCCACTAAAGGTCTAACAGAATATAAACGCATATAAGATATTTTTTCAAAATGAGTAATGGTTTTAAATAGATAAAATTTTATTGCATAAAATTTATTTATTCTTTAAAAAAGTATATATTAAACGGAAGAAGAAGTTCAGGCCTCAAAATTTCTCTTTGCAGTCTTATGAAACACTTGAGAAATTTGGATGTGGCCATGTGTGCCAAAGCAAATACAAAAGAGAAATATTACACGTTCTGGATTGCTTTAAAATGAGCATTTATTTCATTTCAAAAAAAAAAAAAAAAAAAAACTCTTTCCGATGCCCGTGTGTATGATTTAAATAACTTTAATAGTGAGAACGAAAGCAACAATCGCACATGATAAAAACATGAAAAAGGTTTTGAAAGCCAGCACAGAATACAAACCGGTATAATATAAAGTAAAATTATCTGGAGAGCACTAAAAAGTGGAATAGAAATCAATAAAAATATTTGAAAAGAAAGAAAGAAATTTTATACTAGTTGAAAGTAGATATCATCCTCGTAGGCATAATAAATTATTTATTTTTTGTGAAACTTTCTTCGTTACGGTGTTTTTCTAATTCTTTTTATATATATGTGTGTGTGGTGTGTATTAGAAACGTCATATTGTCAAGTCTGACTATTTATCACGTTCCCTAGTATCTATGGCGTAGTTACAGAGGGAAAAGTGAGGATATCTATTCCCGTACGCAGATCATCCAGGGGACATGTTTTACCCTTTCCTATTGCCGTTCGGGAATCATTAGGGGTCGCGAAATTTTCAATTGTCCCCGGACGTTGAAAGCTCTAATTACTTCTCTGATTAGGATACACTGTGGTACGTTGCCATAAAACAAATCAATTTTGCAGTGCAAATGCCAGTTCTTACAGCTGTTGCTTAGTATCTTAAAAATTGTTTAATTCTTTAATTATTCTTTCTACAAAAATTCTTAAATTTATTTTTTGTGACATGCTGTGAATTATAAGACTATTACCAATTTAATTTTCTCTCTCCTGTCTGCATGCCTTTGTGGTGTAACGGTAGCATACTCAGAGCGTATTTGAGAGGTCCAGGTTCGAGTCCTGGCGAGAGCATTGCTTATATTTCAGTCACACGCTTCAAAATAACCAAATAACTCTACAGTGGCCTAAAAAGGTGGTGGATAATGATGATTCTTCACCACCAGGATTCGGTGACTAGGTCGCCTAATCCACAGTCGCCCTTTAAAAGGGGAAGTACATAAGCTATTTTCTCCCTCCTTTTTGCATGCCTCAGTTGTGTAACAGTAGCCCACTTGGCGCGTATTCGAGAGGTCCAGGTTCAAGTTCTGGCGAGGATATAACACATTTTTAACCTCAGCTGCTTTAAAAAAACCCTAATGTTTCTACAAGCTGATGGTATTCAATTTATCTTAAAACGTCAAAAAAAAATTGCATATAATATGAGAAACTGAATGATGTGGAAACAGTTCGCATATTTTTAAATTACTTATTTAACTTTATTTTACTTTGTAGCATTTCATTAAATGATAATATCTGCTTTTATAAAAACTTGTATCAGTGTTTTCTAAAGTAGGGATCATGAATAAGTTTTACTGATTCACAAAAAATATTGGAACTTTTAAAAATTTGGTATAGATTTCTATACATATATAATTGTTTTTATTTGGAAACATACAGACTCCCCGTGCACCACAGATGTACATCATAGAGCTTACAGAAAAGCAGAGAACAGCAGTCTGGACTTATTGATTAATTTTTAACTATTAACTGTCGTTATTTACTGTGAAAACAGCAAAATTTAATGTTTTCCACATACATGTAGGCAGTTAGGCTTAGACTCCCCAAGTGATTAAAGTCACACCACGTGTCTGATTTTCAGGAATGTTTCAATAGTCGAGCCAATTCGCCTGGGAACTCAGAGATAATTAACACGTCTCGTGGAATGTCACGAGTTCAGCATGAGCGTATCGCATTGTGCTGCAAGTATAAAAGGGGATCGGTAATTTATGTATGTAAAGAATGTAAATTTCAGTGGAATCCCGAAGTGTATTACTTTAGTAAGGCAGACAAAATCTGTATTTAAGTCAAGTGATAAGAGATGATAATTTTCTGTGAATTATTTGAATGATATTTCAAATTAACAGTAAATTATATTAAATTCCCATAATAATTGAATAAGAAGTTAAAATCTTTTATCTGTACTGTCTATTCATTATATCTTACTTGGGGAACTGACGTCAAGTGGTAAATTTGAATGCTGATATAGTATATTGAGTTGATATAGTATATTCTGAGTAGTTAGGGAGTCTTAATACTGTGTATTAAGATAGATTTATATCTACTAGATGTATTGTATTTTAATTTAGTAGTTGAGAGGATTGATTGAAATAGATTGAACTTGATTGAAATAGGAAAATGGCGTCTTTACTGAGAACCAAGCATAAGGAGCTATTGCAGTTAGCTGAGAATTTTGATATTGATATAGATCCGGGAATGAGAAAAGCGCAGTTAAGCGATGCAGTTTTGAATAGTGAAGGCTATGACGAAGAACAGGCTAAGGCTGCTCTTAACTGTTATAGAGAGGAAAAGAGAGAGAGGAAAGAGAAAGATAGTTTGAGCTAGAGAAGTTTAAAATAACTACCGCGAATAATGTTAGAGAATTCACTTCCAATCTTTCAGGTAATACATTTCAGGAAAATATGTTTAGAATTAAAAGACTCATGCAAGATTCGATGTCAAGGTAACTGATAGTAGCTTATATTTAGCGCTTTTTGAGCACCAAGCCGAATCTATGGTTTTATCAGAAACCAAATGGCCGACCCAACTTATCTCTGTTTTACTAGTGGAATTTTTCATGAAACGGATGGACAAGCAAGAGAGTACTCTCAAATCAAGAAGGTTATATTGGATCATTACCGCTGAGGCTCAGAAATCTTTAGGCAAAAATTTGGAAGTCATATAGAAAAGCCGAACAGAAAGTGGGAAGATTTTGTGCAAGAATTGCATACGTACTTTGATTATTGGTTAAGCAGGTTTGAAGTAAATACTTTTGTTGTGTAGGAATTCCCTTAGTTTAATTAACCAATTATTCAATTTTTTTATACCTTTTCTGAACTCTTCAACTTTTCTTCGCATTTCCTCGCCAAGATGCAAATTTAAAGTTATTTAAAGTTATGTGAAGTGAGTATTTAAACGGGTGAATCTGGGAGTTTAATTCAGAGCGTGGTTTTGCTATGCAGCGCACGTTATGAATCTGTCCTTGCTGTTACGCGGAGTTGCTGAAATGCCTATTTGGCCATTTAAATAATTATCACGCCGTGTAGATTATAGAGTCAACCTTTTTAGCCCTTAACTTAAGGTACTAGTCCAGCACTATTCTTTAACCTTGAACTTAATGTGAAGTAAGTCTTAAATTCCACCCCAAATTGTCGGTGTTATTGTAAAACATGAAGTACGTGCCTTTCTGTTCATAGTTGATAATAATAAAGGGTTATTTTTATCCCTTCTTCTGTGGTTGTTTCCTTTAAGCCTGGGGCGAGAAGTCGTCAGGTTCTTTAGTAGGATTTCATAGAATTTATGTGTCCCAAGAGAGTGCGATCTTATAGTTGAGCTGAAATAACAAATTTTCGCGGATCAGATGAAAAGGTGCATGAGTACTAAACCTAAAGAGAAATATGTACATGAAATTGGAAAACATTAATTCGCCGCTCGTTTTAGAGGAGAAGCTAAATAACTTCGAAATCCTGAGGCAGGATATGAAGAAAAATGCCTTTGCTAATAAATAAGATTTTAAAATTGTGAGACACAAAGAAACTAGAAAGCAAAAGCAGAAAAGAGGGAAGCAAAGGTCTCTCAAGAAATGATGGAATAAACCTCATAAAATAAATAATCAAGATAAGGCGAAAGAATATTAGATGCGGAAATCGTTCCGATATTTTGAGTGCAGATCGTCTTCACATTTTAAACTCTTATATCCGCAATGAAGAAATAAAAAGCAGAAACTTCTCCGATGTTCTGTGTGTGTATCATCTTTTCATTTGCAACCCTCATATCCATAGTGGAGGAAAACCTAACAAGAGAAATTGGTCCGCCTTGCTTAGCGCGACAGTCCAGAAAAAT